TCCAGCCCCCGGCCCCCTGCTGCAGGCAGCACGCCGGCTCGGCTCTGCTTTTCTCTCTCCGTCCTTTTGCTGACACTGCAGATTTTCAGACTGCCACTAAGGTGCTTTCAGTTTGACAGTGCTGATAGGGAAACCCCCCCCATATCATATCACAACCCCCTGGCTCCAGGCTGCCTTCCTGGGGTGTCTCAGCAATGCGGAGCTGATAAAGTGCTGGAAATGAGCCGCCTCCTCCTCCTCCTCCTGCATCCTCCCAGCATCTGCGCTACACCAAATCAAACAAATCTAAGCGCTTCTGTTTTCCTCTTGGCTCTTCTGGCAGAAGCGTGGGGTGAAAAATCTGCAGTACGCCTGGTTAGGGGTGCAAGATGTGTCTGGGCACAACGTCGCTCCGTGCCCCCGCGTTGGTCGCGGTGGCACCCGAAACATAGAATCATAGAATCATAGAATGGTTAGGGTTGGAAGGGACCTCAAAGATCATCCAGTTCCAACCCCCCTGCCATGGGCAGGGAAATCCTCCACTACACCAGGTTGTCCAAAGCCTCATCCAACCTGGCCTTGAACACTGCCAGGGACGGGGCATCCACAACTTCTCTGGGCAACCTGTTCCAGTACCTCAGCACCCTCAATGTAAAGAATTTCTTTCTTATATCTAACCTAAATCTGCCCTCTTTCAGTTTAAATCCGTTGCCCCTTGTCCTGTCACTACACACCCTTGTCAAAAGTCTCTCTCCAGCTTTCCTGTAGCCCCTTTAGGTACTGGAAAGCTGCTATAAGATCACCCCGGAGCCTTCTCTTCTCCAGGCTGACCAGCCCCAACTCTCTCAGCCTGTCTTCATAGGAGAGGTGCTCCAGCCCTCGGCTCATCTTCGTGGCCCTCCTCTGGACTCGTTCCAGCAGCTCCATGTCCTTCTTGTGTTGGGGACTCCAGAGCTGAGCGCAGTGTTCCAGGTGGGGTCTCACGAGAGCTGAGTAGAGGGGCAGAATCACTTCCCTCGACCTGCTGGCCATGCTCCTTTTGATACAGCCCAGGATACGGGCTGTATCCTGTATACTCGGGATACATCGCCGTTGCACGTTCCTGTTGCCGTCAGCATGTTCGATAGCAGCGGGAAGGCTTCGTGCCTGTGTTGGCGCTCACCAGAATTTTGCAGTGCTCAAGGAGCAAGAGCGACTCGAGATCTTTGTTCCTAATAGCATGCCTGCTGTCAGATGGTGAAATACCCTGGAGAGAGAGGTCTTAATGTTGTTGGTATTGTGTCTTATGTTGTTATGAAGCCACAAATTACTTTTTAAGATTAAGGGAGGATGACAGTAAGCGAAAGACACCTATCAACAGCGTTTGGTACGCGTTTCACTGCTTGCTTTCAGCTTCATTTAGGTTCAGGCTTGCATGCACCATAAATAAAAAGCGTTGCTCCTCACCAAATTATCATCAGTGGTCTGATTTTGGTCTCTCGGATTTGGCGATGGTGCAGTGACGGTGGACAACTCATGCCCAAACCCACCTGAACTGGACTGGAAGGGACCTTAAAGATGATCTAGTTCCAACCCCCCTGCCATGGGGAACATAGTTGCTAATCATCCCTTCCCTTGGGATGGGGCTTTGCAGTTAACTACTGCAAAATAACTGGTTTTGTGCGACTCCTTTCCCAGCGTCCGGCGGCAGCGTTAAGCGGAGGTTGGAGCTGTCCTGTGGTCTCCTTCTCACCGGTGTGATCCCGGAGTAGCTTCTTCAGGAGGTGGTGGGGATGAGATCAGACTCTGCTCCTGCGGCAGAAATAACTCTTGTTGTCATCAGAGTGGTCACCGTAACGTGGATGAGGTTCAAGTCAGGCCCGGTGGTAGCTTCAATGAGATTTTTGTGCGATTATAACAAGAATTTGACACACATGGTGAGCTACTCGTCATGTATATGTGATCTGCCTCCACGCTGTCCCAGGAGGTATTTACCAGCATAAAAATCAGTTAATGAGGGGACGCGTCCCGAGCAGCAGCCTGCTGCGAGGGATGACCCGGGAAGCCCAGGGATGGATGAGCTGTGCCTTTTCCACTTCCAAACTCCGTTGGTTTTGCTTCCCTCCGTACCAAGAGGGAACACTGACTTCCTGGTGGATTTTTGCCGAACGCCGCAGCAGTATTTATGCACAAAGTTTTCTGTGGACGTAGCAGGAGAGCTCAAAAGCTCACCCCGTCTAAAGTGCCTCAGGTCCTTGAGGATAATGAGATATTTTCGGAGCGCACCTTTTTTATTGTCCCAATATTACGTTACAGGAGAAACGGGAGGGAGGAACTTAACACGTAGCACCTGTCGCCGGCGCTCGCCTTGAATTAGGCTCTCCTGCTTATAAAAATTTAATGGATTCCTCGCAGTTTACGTGCGTGGTGCTCAGTGGGTGTTTTCTGTTCTCTTGCCAGCTCCACGGTTACTTGGAAAGCGAGCCGCTCACGCTCCAGCTGTTCATCGGCACCGCCGACGACCGCCTGCTGCGACCCCATGCTTTCTACCAGGTCCATCGAATCACCGGGAAGACCGTTTCCACCACCAGCCACGAAACAATACTTTCCAACACCAAAGTCCTGGAAATTCCACTTCTTCCAGAGAACAACATGAGAGCAATGTAAGACCCAGGCACCGTATCTGACTCCTCGCAGTTTTCTCTTGGTCAGCCCACTTTTTTGCTTGTGTTGCTTTATTTTTTTGTGGTTTTGTTGTGTTTTGTGTTTGGGTTTTTTTTGTTTGGTACACAGTTTTCCTATCTTTTTTTTTTTTTTTTTTTTAAAATTCTCTCTGTAACAGTAGGTTTTCACAACATTGCAGGGACAAATTGCCCCTAATCAGCTTATCAACAAAATGAACTTCACAAATACTTATGACAACTGATTGCTTTCATTCTAAAGTTTCAGCCAATGTGCTTATTTGCCATTTAAAATAAGTAGCTCAGTTACCAAGCTGTAAATAACTCCTACCTCAGCTCCTGCATTTAGTTTCTAAATATGACACCTCTTGCCCCTATACGCAGCAGCACAAGGAACAGGGCCTGTTAAAATTTATCTTTGGATGTCAAAGGAAAATCTTAGAGAGCGTTTCCAAGTACCCTGGTGGTTTTTTGCGACAAATAAAACCACTCTTACTTCTCACATGATAAAACCAGCATTTCTCATGGCATTCGTTTAGAAGCAAAGCTTCTAGAGCTAAGAGGAGGAGTAAAGGTGATGCAACTTCCAGACTGGAGTTATTAAACTGGGATAAGTTTATCCTATGCAGAAAAGCAGGCATGGGTGTCTAAGGATCTCTGAACTAGTAGGAGCCTGAGTGATACTTAAGCGCCCCGTAGGTCCATTACACACAGATAAATTTAATGATAGGGCTCTGTATAAAGGGTGAAATATCCCTCTGTGTATGTGACGTACGTGAGACCCTCCACATTCATAGAATCATAGAATGATAGAACGGTTTGGGTTGGAAGGGACCTCAAAGACCATCCAGTTCCAACCCCCCTGCCATGGGCAGGGACACCCTCCACTACATCAGGTTGCCCAAAGCCTCATCCAACCTGGCCTTGAACACTTCCAGGGATGGGGCAGCCACAGCTTCTCTGGGCAACCTGTGCCAGTGCCTCACCACCCTCTGAGTGAAAGATTTCTTCCTTAGATCTAATCTAAACCTCCCCTCTTTCAGTTTAAAGCCATTGCCCCTTGTCCTGTCACTACATGTCCTTGTAAAAAGTCCCTCTCCAGCTTTTCTGTAGGCCCCCTTTAAGCACATGAGGCACTCTGGGGCACGCTGTACATGACACTGCAAACCAGCTTCAATAACCACTACGTGTGGAAGAACTTCAGGCGTCTGATACCATTTTTCACTTCATTAACGCTCGGAAAACTGTATGAATAGCAAGGAGTGAAGTTGTGATTTTAGTAAGCTCCCTGAGATTTTCCCGTGGCATTTGATTTCTTGCTCTGCCTTCTCTCTTTCCACCCACTTACCTTTCCATCTCCCTATACACAACACAAAGGTGCACGTGTCTACGTGTAAATATGGATACACTCACATCTATATGCACACCAAGAGATGTACACATGTGTGTACATCTGATGTAGTGGAGGGTGTCCCTGCCCATGGCAGGGGGACTGGAACTAGATGATCTTTGAGGTCCCTTCCAACCCAAACCATCCTGTGATTCTATGATTCTATGTAAATAGAAGAGCTAGAATGTGTTTAGCTGCATTGCCAGCCAGGTGTAGGGGGATCACCTAAGACCTGAGGACCTCTGTCAGTGCAGTCGTGACAAGCCTGCAGAATTATTGGCCCCATTCACCATCATCACGAGCTGGCTTGACTCCACTGAGGTTATTAAAATTTCACCAATTTGTACCCACACAATATTTATTTGGCTGTTTATTTATCCAGTTTGAAGAACATTTTTGGCCATCTAGGAACATTATTACCGTTTCAGTCATCTTTCTCCCTAGAATAAAGGTAGTTAGGCAGTTTGGGAGCCAAGCTGAATATTTTTGTGACACGCGAGCCAGATCGTAGTAGAGCTCTCTCCAGAACCGCAAACAATGCTTTGGCATATGTCAGCCTTACACGTCAGTGGTCTGAAACCTCGTGGAGCACCAACAATGAGCCGAAATTTGGAGCCAAGGACTTTTCTCACACCTACTTTGTGTTTTCAGGCCTTGGTTCAGTGCAACACTGAAGCTCATCTGCGCATTTAAACTTTTGCACGTTTAGCCACTCCTGTTGACTTCAGGTGTTGGTGTCCATGACTTTACAAGCCTGAATTTAAATGCTTTCTCTCCTCTGAACTTTATTGGCTTTGAACTAATTGTCATGAAGTATTTTTAATTTATTTTACAAGTGTTGCGATAGGAGAGACAGAATTGAGAAGCGCACTGGTTCTTCCGTATCTTATGGATCTTTGTGTAGAATCTTGACACGGGTACAAATATTTCATCATTCTTATGGCTTCACCTGCTAGTATGCATTGTTGAGAAGCTTTAATACTTTCATTAGTTTCTTTGATTGTACCAGAAAGGGCCTTTTTGTTATCCCGAAATCCATACTTGAGAAAAAACGCAGATCAAAACCGCGCTGCTGTAGTTCTTGTTTGCACTTTGCTTCAGAACAGGGCTTCAAAGGTCTGGAGGGGGAATTAAACTCTTTGAATGCAAAATAAAATTAAACTATGCATATTCAGTGTAATAAAAGGCATGCCAGAGACCAGTACCCAGAAGAAATTGCCATGTAGGCTTTGTAGTCGTGGCCAAAGCAGAGGTATTTTTGCAGTGGGTTTTTGAGTGCGTATGTTTATATATCTTTTGTTCTGGGAACTTCCTCTATTGAAATTTGCTTTGACAAAAATCCTGACTTGTAAGCTAATCCAGGAGAAACCCGAAATTAAAAAAAAAGGAGAGAGAGAGGTCAGAAGTAGTAGTGGTTCTATCAGACGAAAAGCACGTTTTTCCCCAGTGTAGAGGGAGGACTGAGTTGAGTTTTTTTCTGGCGGAGCTTCAGCTCAACGCTCCGCTTGGGACTATTTCCAACCCATTCAAACACAAACACGTCGACAGTAGAACTGACCTCAGGGAGAGCTATGCTCATTGATAAGCATTTCCAGGACTTTGCCCTAGAATAAAAATCATGTCAGATTTTTCTCCAGATCAGTTGTAACAAGTGGAGTCGTAAGTAACCTTGCGTTCTGGGTTAGTAACACTTTGTGCACTACCGCCTCATCCCGTTGACTTTTCCAGTCTTGCTGTTTCTTTGGGCTTTGGTGAATCTGTGCGTGCCATCCTCACAGGATGTGTCAGAGAGGAAGGATCTCTTATATTTTCTTCCTCTGGGAACCGAGGTAACATCCTAAATTTGTGTGCTCAACGACGACTACTCCCTTTTACTACAGATAGCCCCAATTGTGGATGCAAGAACTGGGCTTAGCCAAGTCTGACGGGTTTGCCCTGGTCATTGGGTCGCGTCTGACTCAGATTTTTAAGAAGGATGTACAGTAGAGAGGGAAGATAATGCACACTCGTGTCTTCCTGAAGTCTGCTTGAAACGAATTGAATTGCTCTGTGTTTCCTTTGGGATAGCATCGACTGTGCTGGGATATTAAAGCTCCGAAACTCTGACATTGAGCTGCGCAAGGGAGAGACGGACATCGGTCGGAAAAACACGCGCGTGCGGCTGGTCTTCAGGGTTCATATCCCGCAGGCCAACGGCAGGCCCCTCTCCTTGCAAGTAGCCTCCAACCCTATCGAGTGCTGTAAGTAGCAACAAACACCCTTCTCCTGCTGGGTGGCGTGCCATCTCACCCGCGGTCTTTGTCCGCTGACACGCTGTGTGTTGGTTTTGCTGTACCTGTCTGGTCAGGGAACCTTCATCTGCTTTCCAAAAGCACGTGGTTTATGCTGAAGACAAAATACCCGTGTCTTAGAAAGAAATGTGTAGCTTTGTGCATTGATTTCTATGGGAAAAAACACACTTAAACCAAAAGTAGAGTGCACTTAAACTAACAGTAGACCTCGGAGTGACTGACAGGCCCTTTTTTTTGGTTTTTTTTTTGAGACTCCCTATCATACTGGTAACTGCTGTAGGGGTTTTGGAAAGCAGCTATCATGCCCTATTTACTCTCTGTCTCCCCATCATAAAGCAAAAACCAGCAAGCAAAACCCCAGCCCCTTTGATGCGGAGCTGGCAGCATACTAGAGCTGGCACACTGGCACAAGGTTCAGAAAACCTCCAGACACCAGGTTTCCGTGCTGGGGTCTCTTTGATTGAACAGATTGCTTTTTATCAGATATGCTGGGGCACCCTCCAAAGACACCTCTGTCATTCGGGCTCCGTAAGCCTCCTCAGCCTCCCACACACCAAACAAAACCTTTTTGCTTCGTGTAGCTGTGACACTGCAGCGTGAGTGGTGGAAGTTGAATTTCAGTCTAGCTGCCGTTGCTGATCTGGTCAGCTGGATGGACTGAAACAGTTTTTTAAGATTTCGTTGGATTCCACAAAGTGGATTTTGCTGATGAGGACAGGGTAGGGAGTAACTGAACGTCCAATGGGTATGTGGGGGAGTAGGCTCTTGAGGGATGGGGAGGAAGGCTTGGCCATCCCTAGCCCTGTGCATGCTGGAGAATCCTGTCCGCGCTTCTCCTGGCATCCTTGCTGGGCTGGAGTTCCACATGACGTGTCTGGCAGATCCTGGAGCACACCAGCGTTTGATCTCTTGGAGGCACGGTGCTTCTTCAGGGATTGCTAATAAAGAGGCTGCAGGAAAGAGCATCCCTGCATTCCTCTTGCAAAAGCAGTGGCATTGGTGACCTTCAGACCAGCAACAGTTCTCCATCCTTTTGCCTAGGGTAGCACTGCTGCTGTTCTGGTAGTCCAAGTCTGCAGGAGAGGCAGAAGTTGTAGGAAAGGGTAGTGCTGTTAGACTGACTGATAGCTTCTCTCCTCCACAGTCATTCATTTAAGTAAACAAATGAGCATTGGTAGTGGGAAGGGAGTTGACATTAAGAGAAGCCTGTGTTATTTGTGAAGAATAGCAGAGCCTCCTTACCTATAGCAGGTAGTCTGGCATAAAGCCCTGTCTTCTGTCCAGGACACGTATGAGATGAACAATTTCCCCTTTGTTTCTTACTCAACAGCAAGTTCTAGGCTAACAGGCAAAGCAAGAAATGTGAGGAGTTGTGGTTTCCTCCTGCTCCTACTGAAGTCGATGAGAGCTTTTCAATTGCTGTATAGCAGGAAAAGGCACAATTTAAATACATCCTGAACTGGTTTGTGCAAAAGTGCCAAGCTCAGGAAGCCACTGAATATGAAGGCGATTGGCTTGGTATCGGTGAGCTGCAGTTTTGAGGGTTGGGTGATGAGCAAAAGCATGGTACATGCCTCCTGAAAGGAGCAGAAAACAGGAGAAAAAAACTTAAGTGCTAGTGTTATTTCCAGTGCAGAATGTGGAATGAGCTGGTGCCAAAAACTTCATGCATCTCTTAGTGCATGTGACACCAGGAGGAACCGTGTAACCTGGATAAAATGTCATGTCATCCCTTGAAGCACAGCCATGCCCGCTCCGTGTCCCACTTGGGGGGGATAGAATATGTGCCACGAGAATGCCGGATTCTCTTTGCATGGATCCACGTGTGCTTTGGCACTCAGGTGCCGGGGGAAATACGCTCTCTAAACTGTGACCTGTTGGGATCGTGAGGCCCGTGGCTGGTGCTGCTGCAAGACAGTTTGCAGAACTGGCACTACAACCTTTAGGGGTTGTTTGCAGAACTGGCACTACAACCTTTAGGGTTTTTTTTACAAGGGCATGTAGTGACAGGACAAGGGGAAATGGCTTTAAACTGAAAGAGGGGAGATTTAGATTGGATATAAGGAAGAAATTTTTCACTCAGAGGGTGGTGAGGCACTGGAACAGGTTGCCCAGAGAAGTTGTAGATGCCCCATCCCTGGAAGCATTCAAGGCCAGGTTGGATGAGGCTTTGGGCAACCTGGTGTAGTGGAGGGTGTCCCTGCCCATGGCAGGGGGGTTGGAACTGGATGATCTTTGAGGTCCCTTCCAACTCTAACCATTCTATGGTTCTATGATTCTATGACTGAAACACATTTTGGACACGGGCAGTTGTCTTGCCATGTGTGCCTTGTAATCACACGTCATATGTGTTACAGATAACATAAGAGAAGATTATTTTGAATGAATGAATTTCAATAAAAATACACTTTTTGATATAGTACAGATCAAGCTGAGTTTTAAAACAGCTTGTTCTTTGTGAGCCTTTCGAGCTATGTTTGATAACCCCATTGTTTACTGTCAAGGCACTTGAAAACCAACCATGTTTCTTGCAAACCTTCTGGCCTTTTTTTGTTTCTGTATCAAACTCAGCTCAGCTTATGGGCATGAGCATTAAGTTCCTTACTAATATAGTATTTACTTATTTGTGTGTGTTTGTGTTTTTTTTTTCTTTTTTTTTATCTTCTTTATAACTCTCCAGCTCAGAGATCTGCCCAAGAACTGCCTCTGGTGGAGAAGCAAAGTACCGACAGCTTTCCTGTTATTGGAGGGAAAAAAATGGTACTGACTGGCCATAACTTCCTGCAAGACTCCAAAGTCATCTTTGTGGAGAAAGCACCAGGTATGTCTTTTCGATCTAGACTCCGGTCTGCTTTTTTTTCCCTCTGTTTTAAAATCTTTGCCAAATGATGGAGACACAAATATGGTAATGGCATTTTCTTCTGCGTGTAATACGTTTTCCATGTCGCTGGGCAAAGCTGTGGAAGTGAGCGGAGCCGTGCCTGGCACGGAGGTTTCACTCTAGGGCAGGTGTGGTTGCAGGTAGGCAACAGCCACACTGAAAGTCGAAGTTGGGCGTTTGTTTTTGTAGCAAATCGTGGCTGTAGGTGGTAGGACCCGTGGTTGGATGTTCGAAACCTGAGGTGGCACGTCCCCACAAAATCTGCACGGTGGTCCATCTTGTTAAACCTTTCTATAATTCCCGGGAAAGAGAGTGGTGTTGCCAGGGATGCGTATGTGCACGTGTGTCTTCTTCTGCGGTGGTCAAGACTGGTGGCATTTCCAGTCTGCAGCACCCACGCATTTGTCCAAAGGAGATATTCCTGGTGTACCTGGAGGATGGAGGAAGGACCACCACCAACTCCTCGCTTGCATGGCCCTGCTCCTGCAGCGTGCCGGTGGTGGGACCGGTCCTCCCAAGGCAGGTTCCCCAGCCAGGCTGGAGCAGGGTGATCATCACGTCATGGGGATGGGAGCTGGGGCTGGAGCAGGCGTCTGGAGGAGCGGTGGGTCACAGGGTGGCAACTCATGACACGCGCGAATGTCCCCGCGGGAAAAGACGGTGGGAGCGAAGCCGTGAGTCAAAGTCAGGCTCTGAAACGAGATCGTTAAGGGGAGTTTTGAGTCTTGTTTTGGAAAGGGTTTCCGTGGCACTGGCACAAGCTACAGATTCCTCAGCTGCTGGCTGAAACCCCCCCTGAACTTTAAGCTGCCTTGGGCGCTCCTTGGGCCACTCCTCGGCCAGCGCTGGCTTTGAAGCTGCACTCGGTTAACCCTCCGTGGCCACCAGGATCCCACGCCGTTCCGCTGCCAGTGCTGC